TAAATCGCTCAGTTGCCTAGGCTGGACTAGAACTTGCAATCCTCCTTCCTCAGCTTCCCAGAATATTGGGATTGCAAACATAAACCACCACATACAGTTTTATTTTATTTTTCTTTAAGAGATGAGATCTGGCTGTTTTCCTGGTTGGTCCCAAACTCTGGTGCTCAAGTTATCCACCTGTCTCAGCCTCCCTGTAGCCTGGCTCTTCAGCTTCTAATGTTGCTTCAAAACCTAAAAGCTCCACTTTAAAAAACAAGACATACATTACATGTACTTCTTCCTGAGGCCAAATAAACAATGCTCAATTTTTAGTCAACTCCTTCCTCCAAGTCTTTTGACCTCTTTTGCCTGCTCAATAGCACTACCACAATGAAAAGACAAGAGAGAAGCACAATCCAGTGCATCTGGCTCTTACTAGCATCACTGGTAAATGGTTTGCTGAGAAACAACTGGCGAACCCTACATGACTAATCAACATCAGGCTTGGTAAAACTTTGTGGATTTAATTCTTTCCAATCCCCTTTTCAGGAGAAATTAATTAAAAACGGACTTATTCAATAGCCAGGCACAGGGGCACTCACCTATAGTCCCAGCTACTCAGGAGGCTGAGATAGGACTATTTAAACACTGAAGTTCAAGACTAGCTTGAGTAACATACACAGTAAGATTAAAAAACAAAAACAAGGGCCGGGGATTTAGCTCAGTGGTTCCACCCAGGGCAAGGACCTGAGTTCGATCACCAGTACCAAAAAAACCAAACAAACAAAAACAAAAAAAAACCTGGTTGTATTCAGACTCATCTCCCAGAAAAAGATAATTAGATCTTTCTATACTCTCAGCTACCAAATATAAACTCCCCTAAGAATTTAGGTTATATGTTAAGGCTGGATTTGGGCAGGAAGCCTCAGAATAAAACATTCTCTCCTACCCAAAATCAGCCTCCCCAGATCTACCACTCTAAAAGAAAGGACAAATTCCAGAGCAGGGCATGGTAGCACACACCTGTAATCCCAGCACTTGAGAGCTGAGGCAGGAAGATCTTTAAGAGTGAAGTCAGCCTGGGCCACAAAGTGAGTTCAAGGCCAACTTTTAAGACTCTATCTCAAAAAGCTCAAAAAACTAAAACACAAAAACAGAGACAGAGAGAAAAAAAAGGCCAACAAATTCCAGAAAGTAGATTCTCTACAACCAAACTAATCCCATCTTACAGTGTATTTTTGTTTTACTGAAATAAACCAACTTTAGAGTAATAGAAAGAAATACACCTCAATGAATATTAAACTCTTCTATTCCAGAAGGATCCTTGTGAAATTTGGTATAAGATCTTTTTAAAAAAAACTCTCCTATAGCTACATGGCATGGTGGCACATGTCTATAATCACCCACACTCAGAAGGTTAAAGATGGGCTGCGCATGGTTGGGCACACAGTGATCCCAGCACTCAGGAGGCTGAGGCAGGACGATCACAAGTTCAAGGCAGCCTGACCAACACAGTTAATTCAAGGCCAGTCTGAATAACACAGTGGGGCTCGGTCTGGGAAAAAAAAAAAAAAAAGAAGAAGGCTGAAGCAGGAGGCCAGCAAGTTCAAGGCCCGCTAAGTATCAAAACCTTCTCTTTAAAAATAAATAAATAAATAAATAAATAAATAAATAAATAAATTTCCTATACACAATTTAGAGGTAGACTTTCTTGAATTTTCAAGGACAAAAATCCTTGCTGTAGCCTAGAGAGTCATGTTCTCAAAAAGTCCATCTCCTCCTTCATGGAGGGGACCTACCCCAAACATGAAATGTAAACAGCAACCAAATGAAGACTCCAATTGTACTTGACACTTTACCTCTGTTAAACTGTAAGTTCCATCATCTCAAAGGATTTTCATTTCATCTCCCTGGCCACACTATTTGGGGTCAGTCTGATCCCCTCCTAGCTCCCCTTGTCTCCCTCTAACCGAGGCTAGAAGCTTACAGAAAAATCAATTTGTAAGTGAAGGCTAAGTGAGAGCAAAAGCCCCCAGTGGACACACACACTCATCTCTCCTTTCTGATCCAAGATGTCCGGGACACTGCCAACTGCTGTGGCTGTGTTTAGGAACAGAAAGCAAGAACAGAAATAAGGTCACTCTCCATTCAATCTTTTTGTCTGGGGCATTTCCTGGATTTTTCATTGGCATTTAATACCAAGACACAAGACTCATTTTTCATTAAAGTTGCAAGACTTTCACTTTGCCCAGTTTCAAATGGTGTAATTGATCTGCATTGTCTTCTTAAATAACCCAACTGGTGAAGGACACTGCAGCTTTAAATATTTCAGTGCTAGCTAGCAAATAGACTCCATTGCAATATGGCTCTGAAGGTCGTGTCCTATTGTCTCTTTCCTCTGGAAAAAAAAATCTAAATCCTTGTAGGTAACATGGGAATGGTTGCCCCTAGATCTAGAATGTCCACTCTTCTACCTCAGTCCCTTACAGTTCTGAGTGTTTACCAGAATCCATAATTTTCCCGGTAGGGGCGATATGCTGATTGTTATTAATGATTCCAGCTGCTAAGTGAGACATAAACACATGTGTTCACATTAGCTTAATTGACCATATTCAACTATTTGAAATAGCACCACTAAAGGGCTGTTAACCCTTTAAGAGTAAGGCCAGGGTTTGGGTGTGGACAGCTTTCAGGGAGCACCCTAAACCTAGGATTGCATAACCTAAAATGTGTAGCTACTTAAAATGATACGAATCTCAGCCTACTCATCCTGAGACTATGCCGGCACGTTGCCATCCACTTGCAGCTTTATTTGTCAAGGAAGGTCAAAATGAGAAGCACAAACACTGTGAAGAAAAAATAAACTAAAAGAAAAAGGCCCTTTTCTACTACGACTGGGCGCACAAATACAATTTCCCCATCGGCCACTCACTCCCCTAGCGAGGAACAGCCCCAGTGAACTGGAGGCTTTGGGGGCAGCTGGACATTGCTGCCCTTTTTTCAAGAAAAACAGGTGGGATGATTAATAGGCAGGGGAGAAGGGACAAAAGAAGCGGGATTGGAGGAAGAAGTGTGCAGGTGCACCCAAGCATTACCTGAAATGGCAACAGATTGTTACCATTATCTGTTCGGAAAGCGTTATCCTCCATCCAGGATTTTGAGGTGAGCGGGGCCGCACGGGGGAACTTGGGAGGCGCGATCACATTGCTGGAGAAGGGCTTTTTCAGCGGCGAGATGGGGTTCAGTGGGGAGGGAACCCCCACGCCCACGCCTACGCCCACCGCCCGGCGAGGGTCCCGACCCGCCTGCAGGCCGCCCCACGGGTTGGACGGCGCGCTCCAGGCGGCGTTCACGCTTTGGTGAGTGTTCCAGCTGGAAGAGGCCGATGAGGCGGCGGCGGCGGCGGCGGCGGCCGCAGCGGCAGAAGACGAGGACGGCTTGCTGGTCATGATGGGCTGGTGGCCGTAGGCAGCAGCGGCGCTCCTCTGCGCGTAGGGCGCCTGGCTGGGGCTGACAGGCGACCGGCGCTGCTGCGGGGGCTGCGCCTGGGGGGGCTGAGCCGGCTGTGCAGGCTGCGGCGCCGGCGGCGGCGGCTGCTGGTGGTGCTGGGTCTGCGCCAGCCCGATCTGCGGGGAGAAGGTGCCTCCGAAGACTGGATTGACATGGTGAGGGAAGTTCTGGAAGAGCATGGTCCCGTTGACTGGGGTGATCCCTTGGAAGAAGCTGTCCTCCACCGCGTTGGTGGTGCCTGTGGACCAGGTGCTGCCGAAGGACGGCGACAGCGATGCGCCTGGTGCCGTGGGCTCTTGCGGCGGCGGTGGCTGCTGAGGGGGCTGATGGAAACTCAAGCCCGGAAGGAGCGGCGATTCCATCTGCATCTTGTCCGGTCCGTTGGGAGCTGGTGGAGCCGCGGCGGAGCTAAGGGCGGGCACTGAGCTGCTGTCCTCCGGCTTGGGGGTCTCCGGCGAGAGGGGAGTGGATGGGGCTTCTACTGTGCTGGGTTCTGGCTGGGGCTGGGGCTGGGGCTGCTGCTGCTGCTCCTGCTGCTGCTGCTGCCGCTGCTGCTGGGGCTGGGTTTTGCTTTTGTCCATCAGTAAATCATCCTGCATGGTTTGCGCAGCTGAAACGGAAAAAAGAGAGATGGGTTATTGACAATGTGATCATTAATGCCCCTCTCAGAAGCGGGTGGATGTTTCACTTGCGAGAATCCAGTGCCACTGCAACTAGCCAATTGCAATGCAAATCCATAATCCCCCATTTAGAACAGGTCGGGCTGGGGAGGGAGGTTCAAGCAAGGTCTCTGAAAATATTGTGAGAGCGTCTTCAACCTTTCTGATGTCTTGGTTCCTTTTCTGTATTAGTGAGAGATGTGCTTATAAGACCGAAAGACAGCAATTTCGCCACGTCTCTTTTCCCTTCACCGGAACTCAGAGCATTCACCCTGCAATGAGAAACTGATTCTGGTTCCTGTTTTTTCCCAAGCACCACCCTCCCCCAGTTATTTGCATACGTCAATAAATACTGCTGCGTCCTTCAGCAAGGTTAAAAAGACAAGGCACACAACCCTTTCTTCCCCCTTCCCCACCTCGAGCACTTAGGAAAAAAAAGAAAAGAAAAGCCGTCTTGATTAGCAAACTGCCTTCTTGCTTCGATAATTGTTTCATTTAGCTGCAGCGAACCACGTGGGAGGAAATCCTTGGCATTTGTTAGAGGGCTCAGCTGCACATTCTCTGGCCTCCCAGTAGCGGCAGCTACTCCATTTTGTTAGGAGACATTTAAAAAACAAAACAAAACACCGTTTTTAAAAAGGTGAAAACCTACTGAAAGGTTTGGAACTGCTTGCTTCTTGTTACCCTACGGATTGTATTTTTTCTGTTTATTCTCCAATTTTCTTGTCTCCAGTTCTGCCGCGCAAGAGGTTTTTTGGCTTCTCACGGCTTCATGTCTCAACAGGAGCCTGAGAATTTCTCCGCAGAGTGGAGAAATGCTTCTGGTTGGATTTGAGGTCAGCGAGAGGGAGGGAGAGGGGGAGAGAGTGAGAGAGAAAGAAGGAGGGAGCGAGGCTGTGAGATGGAGTGGGGCGGGGCTTTAAAATCCATCTGAGATTTAAGTAGACAGTGAAGATAATTCTGGGGTTGCTAGATTTTCATTTTTTAATCCTCCTGCTGCTGCCTGGGTCACAAGACTTCGGCAAATTTAGAATCCATTCTCTTATCACTAGTATTAGCAGCGAATGACTGGCTTGACGACCCTGAATTATCATATGCTAGCAAAAGCTTTAAAAATAGAGGAGTACAAAGTCCCAAATTCTCATACATTGTAATTATAGTGCATTGCCACCACTGCTTCATTTATCCATATAAGGAGTGTATGGTATTTTCCATTTTGAATAGAAGGGCTATATTCACCTCTGTCATACAGCCTGTTTTTTCATTCAAGGATGAAAATAGTAATCACTCAAAGCCAGGAAATTTCCATACATGTAGTTATTGAGTTAGCCTGTCCCTTAAACATGTTTTAAATATATGAGTATCATTACAGGACTGAGACCCTGAAAACAAATATTTTGAAATATTAAAGAAGCATATGACCAAAGATATAATTATTTTTAAGTGATGATTCAGTACCACTGCAAAGTTATTAATATATTCAGTAAGTTACTTAACTCATATACTGGAGAAGCATCTTTCTCAAGACATTTGTGAGAGGACAGTCAGATGTACACAAAAGCTCTGCCTTTTGATAACCTCCTGACAATAACTACTGTAAAATGGAGATACTGCTCTGAACTATTAAACAAAAGATGTCAGCCAGAGATTTAAAAGTTTTATTTTATTAAAGACTTCTTAAAATGCTTAATTGATATTTTTCATTTCAAAGTTTCATACACAAAATAGAAGCTCGAGGAAATGCTTTATAGCCGCCTACCTTACTGTTCTTTCTACTTCTCACACACCTGCCTCTCCTCTTCCCCCAAGGAAAACAAAATCCAAACCAATATATTATGCATCACAAATTGCTAGCTTCTACCAATAAAACCTACTTAAGATTGCTCTTATGTTCCTGAGTTCCCTTGGTCTAAAACAATGGCTTTGATTGCATTTGTTTGTAAAATACAACACAATGAGGTAAGCGAACCTTGGATTCAGACAACACAAAGTTAGGTCACTGCTAAAGAAGATGGCCAGAAAAAAATACATTTTCATACTTGGTTTAAATTAAATGGTGCTGCAGTAAACCATTATAATTCAGGGATTTTAGTTGCCTTCAGTGAGCTAGGATTGTCTTGACAATAGCCATATCATCATGGCTGAAATATGCATTTGATTGTAATTTTAGTAACACCCACCTTTTCTGGTAGCTTGTATTCAATGCTTCTTGTTAATGCTTTCAGTTTAAACTACTTGCTTTTGGAAAAATTAATGCTGTACTATGACAAGCCAAAAAGTAAGCTGGACTCGGAATATTTTATAATTGCTATAATTAATATTAATACAGTCTTTTAATTTTTAAAGTGTTATGCCAGCAACATTCATTTCTCAACATTTCTTAAAGATACAAATTTCATTTTCGGCATAAATTCAATCTGTCAAGGTCAAGACCCACCTTTACCAAAAAAGACTCTTTAAACAAAAGGTAAGCAGTGGATTATGATAAAATTTACAAAGTTAGTATGCAATATCTCTTAATAACTGTCCCATAGTTTGTTTGATTTGGGAGTTTTTGCTTATTTACACCAAAGTATGAGAAACAGACACCTCCTTCCCCTCCCCCACAACACACAATAGATCGTCTTTTACATGCATTAATTTAATTTCAAATAACAAATACATAGTAATAGTTACCTTTGAGTGTCCAGTTTTTAAGGATAGATAAAATTTAAAAGTGTATAGTATTTGTTTTCTTCTTTCAGGTTGATTATGTGACCGCTCTGGCAAAAGCACTTTGACAACTGTAAGAAGAGTGGGCATGCGCACAGAGGGAACTGTGGGGGCTGAAGTCCTTCACAGGGTACTCCGCCTGACTCCACGTTCAGCAGGGAAAGGAGGAAACCTCGTAAATACAGATTCCAAGGGTAAGAGGTTGTGCCAGGATTACATGATATCCTCTTAGCCAATCTAAATCAGTTATTGAAATGAAAAGAGAGGAAAATAAACTGGTTTGTCAACTTGATTTAGGAAGCCAGGTTAAAAGAGAAATTGAATTGTAGGAGGCCTAATAAATATACCCAACAGAGCTACCTTAAATGGTATGAGAATGGTAGTGACTGGTGGCCAGTAATAGGAACCCTACCAATGAGAAGGAAATTGGAGAGTGGAGGAATAAGCTGGGGAATGACTGGGAAATGATAAGCACTTAAAATCTGACCATACTTAAACACTTTTAATATATAATGAAATATACCCTAACATAAATGTGATATTAACCTTAGAGCTCGGGTAAAAATAGATTTTAATCACAAATTTTTGAAATTTTATTTACTAAGATTTCTTTGTATTCAAATTTTTCAATGGAGGCTGTATCACTTATTTTAGGATTCTACCTGATAGGCTCTGAATCAACTCACCTCTTGATTTTTATTATTCGTGCAATAATTACTCAAAATTCAACTCTTTCATGCTAAAACGATATTTAGTGAAATATGAATAGCTTGATATATTTAGTGTTTCACTGAATAGGACAGTGACTTCTTTATTCAAGACAAAAAGTAAATACAGTTTCTTTATTATTTATGTGTGTGCATGCATGTTGTGTATGTGTGTTTGTGTTCGTGTTACTAGGGATTGAATCTATGGCCTCGCACTTGCTAGGTAAGCAAACACTGAATCACTCAGCTACACCCCCAGTTGTTTTTTTCTTAATTTGTGTGTGTGTGTGTGTGTGTGTGTGTGTGTGTGTAACTTATTTTAACCTTGTGATTCCAAGGCTGGAATTTCTCAACGTATTAACATCAAATGTTATTATCTATAGCTTCTGAGAGCAATGGTTCCAGAGCTGGTTTGCTCACATAGGCAGAAGATAATATTTCTTGTGGGCTCTGGTTCAGTGCCATTCACCCAAGGGGTTCAGAGTAAATATCAGTTGATAACTATGCTGATTGAACTTGGAACTGAAAATGTTAAGCATCATTTAAAACTATCCTAATTTTCTATTTCCTTTCTTTACAAATTAGAACTAAAGAATTAGCAGAGACCACTAATTTGCAGCTAAATTTACTACTAAATATAAGTCTTTGTTTCAAGTTATTTGTAAGGAAAAAGGGAAAACTAACAATGTAAGAAGAATCATTTTGAATGAACCTTCTAAAAGCTTGGTGTAGAATAACTAAATGCTTACTTATTCTTGCTGTGATGTTAGTTTATATTCCCCATTTTTTCTTTTTCTCTATTCTTTTAAAGAAAGTCTATGCCAGGTGTGGTGGCACACGCCTGTAATCCCAGGAGGCTGAAGCAGGAAGATCACGCAAATTCAAGGCCAGCCTGGGCTACACAGAGTTCAAGACCAGTCTGAATTACATAGCAAGATCATGTCTCAAAAAAATAAGAAAGAAAGAAAGAAAGAAAGAAAGAAAGAAAGAAAGAAAGAAAGAAAGAAAGAAAGCAAGCAAGCAAGCCAGCCAGCCAGCCAGCCAGGTAGGTGTGGTGGCCCACGCCTATAATCTCAGTACTCAGGAGGCTGAGGAAGGAGGATCTCCCAAGTTTGAGGCCAGCCTGGGCTATATGTTAAGTTCAAGGCCAGCCTGAACTACATAGTGAGACCCTGTCTCAAAAAAAAAAAGAAAAAAAAAAAGGAAAGCAAGAAAGCCAGTCAGCCATCCATCCAACTTGCTTCTCCCAAGGCGCTATACTGCTGTACTCACCACTCGAATTTCAGAGTCTACAAGAATCAATTCAAGGTTAATCTTATTCCTATAATAGATATTGGGAAATGGGAAGAAAATGTTTAAATGGGAAGGGGAACAAGGGAGGGGGGAAGGGAAAAAGAAGGAAGGGAGAAGAAAAAAGGGAAAAAAGGAAAAAATGGAAACAAAGCTTTTGTATATGGGGGAAGGTTCAAGGGGGAATGGGAAAAAAAGAGGCAGGATATATCATGTACAGGTGATAATGGGTATTATCATGTATATCTCTGATGAGTGTTATCATGTATATCTAAAATGTATCAATAAATTTTGCTTCCAAAAAAAAGGTTAAGCTTATCCCTGTAGACTCTGTTAACCCATCAAACTTCTACTACATGTTTAAGCACTCTTAAATTTTTTTTTTTTAAAAAGCCCTCATAAAATTCTTAGGGCTTTAAGAATTTTTTTAATTATTTCAAATTGGTATTTTAATTTATTTAAAATTATATCAGTAAAGTTGAAATTTTTGTTATTCAGGTATACTTGAAATGGTTTAGTTAAATATCAGTCCACCTGACCCCACATGCAGGTCTACTAATGATTCACACAATGGAGCAAAAAACACTTTGGTCCTGATCCTTAATGATACTTACTTCTGTCCATACTTAATGGAATTTTATTGTATTTGAAAGTGATCTAATATCTGATCTTCCTTTCCTAAAATGAGCATTCAAATCTAAAAAGAAAATTACTCAAATAAGAATTATAAGGTAATAAATATATACCAAGCAAACAAGAAATTACAGAAGGACCCTTATAAGGTCAAAACCTTTCTCGACTGAAATCTTGTTTTTTTGTTGTTGTTGTTTTTGGGTTTTTTTGGTACTCAGGACCTTGCGCTTGAGAGGCAGGTGGCAGAATCACTGAGCTAAATCCTCGGCCCTGAAATCTTTTTTTTATTTAACCAAAAAAGCAATTTCTAAACTTTCATTTTGGGATCACAAAGCTTAACCATGGAGTCACATTCATCCTTCTGGGCTACTTTCTCTTTTCCTCTCTATTTTTTTTTTAAAATAGGTCTTGCCAGGTAGTTTAGGCTGGCCTTGAACTTACTATGTAGGCCAGGCTGGTCTTGAACTCAGGGCGATCCTCCTGCCTCACCTCCTGAATGCTAGGATTACTGGCATTCGCCACCATGCTCAGCCCTCCCTAATTATATTTCTAGCAAAACATATTTTTTATTTATTTATTTTGTTTTGTTTTGCTATGTTACCCAGGCTGGTCTCAAACTATGGGCTGAAGCAATCCTGCCTTAAATTCTCAAGTAGCTGGAATTATAATGGGTCACATGGCCATCCCCATATATTCTTGATGAATAGATGGATAAATGGGGAATTAAATAAACAGATAAAGGATAATTTATATTATGTAAAACAGCAAAGGTTTGAGTATTAAGTTGCACATTTTTTTGGTACTGGGGATTGAACTCAGGATCTTGTGCCTGTGAAGCAGGGAGTGGAACCACTGAGCTAAATCCCCGGCCCTTGAGTATTAAGTTATACCTCATTTAGAAGAGCAGTTACTCTTCCATTACCTTGCAGAAATGATATGGTCATGGTCTAAAAGAGAAAAAACATTTTGGCCCTTATGACATTTGGTAGTATGCAGATCATCTGATTATAATCATGAATAATTTATTTTTTCTTTTTTGGCTATACCAGGGTTACTCTACCCCTGAACTACATCCCCAGCCCTTTTTTAAATTGTGAGAGAGGGTGCCACTAAATTGACCAAGTTGGCCTCCAACTTTCCATTTTCCTGCCTCAGCCTCCTGAGAAGCTAGGATTACAGGCATGTACCACGATACCCAGCTGAAATAACATTCTTTGAGCACTAATTTAGCAGGTAATTTTGTTCCCTCCTAAGAGTTTACAATCTAAGAAAGACACACACCCCATCCCTCTACAGAAACTGCTTTTCCAAGGTGTCAACAGCCACTCTAAGCTAAGTCCAGTGGATGTTTTTTCAGTCTATCTTCCTTGAACTTATAGCAACATTGATATAACTAATCACATTTTTAAGAATATACCTTTTCTCCTCTGCCTCTGACTCATTCATTCTCTCCTGTCTTGGTTTTCTTATATTTGAGGCGGTGCAGGCACTTGCTTCTTTGTGTCTTTGTGTCTTCTTTGCTGACTAACTTTAGTACTACAGGTCTAACCTCAATCTTCTTTCACCTCTCCCTATGTGAGTGGCTCTCCCAACTAAAAGGAAAGGACTGAGCTATCTTATTGATGGTTATACAGTATTCCCAAAACAACTGTGCCTAGAGCATAATAAATAGGTGTTCAGTAAATATTTGTTGGCTAAAATTACATTTATATACAAAGGGCCAAAAATGCCAAGGTAAACAACCACCAAAAAGCCCTAGTAGACATACATCATTAGATATCAAGACTTATTATAAAGCTATAGGAATTACACTACGTGGTTATTGGCACAAGGATAAACAAAAAAATGAAACTAAATTATAAGTATAAAAACAGATCCACGTAAGTATGGACACTAAAATTATAAAAATAGTAACATCGCAAGGGTGAAAGGATAATCATTTCAATAAAGAGTATTAGAGTCAATTATATATCCATATAGAGAGACCTTTACAGGCTGAGAATGTACCTTGGTGGCACAGTGGTTGCCTAGCTTGCACAGGCCCTAGGTTCAATCCCTAGTACCACAATAATAAATAATTGTTTTAAAAGAGAGACTTTTCAACACCATACACAAGAATCAATTCCAGATGGATTTTAAGTCTAAATGTAAAAGTAAATAATAAAGTCTTTTAAAGAAACCTAGCCAAGCATGTTGGCACACAACTGCAATTCCAGCTGAGGCAGGAGGATCTTAAATTTCAAGGCCAGTCTTGAACAACACAGAGTCCCAGGCCAGTGAGACCCTATATCAAGAAAGAGAAGAGCCAGGCATGGTGGCACACGCCTGTAACTGAAGTACTCAGGAGGCTGAGGCAGGAGGATTCCCCTGAGTTCAAGGCCAGCCTGGGTTATATAGTGAGTTCAAGACCAGTCAGGACTACACAGCACTATACAGCAAGACCCTGTCTCAAAAAACTTAAAAAAAAAAAACACCACCGCCTGCCTCACAAGCACAAGAACCCAAGTTTGATCCCCAGTACCAAAAAAAAGAAAAAAAGCTTAAAAAAGAAAAACAGCCAAGATGGTAGCTTGGTAGCCTATGCTGTAATTCTACTTATTCATTTATTCATGTACAAAAATCTACATTTATTCAAATACAGTGCCTGCAGTTTGTAATAGCTAAAGCTTAGAAACAGCCCAAGTGCCCATCAACTGGAAACTGGATAAAGAAGATGTGGTTTTTTTATAAAATGGAGTACCACTTAGCCATAAAGAATGAGAAACTAGAGTCATTTATGGCTAAATGGATGCATATTGAGGCCATACTCTTAAGTGAAATAAGTAAGACTCACATGTGTAAATACCTAATAGTTTCTCTAGTGTGAGAAACTGAGAGTTTAAATAAGGATTAAAAGGATTAATAACTAATAATTGATACTTTGAAATAGGAAAATGTCCAAAGGGGTAGGGGTGGTGGGAGGAGATGGGGAAAGGAAAGAATGGAAAGGGAAAACTATGAGAAAAGAAAAAAAAATGGAAACAAAGTATGTAAACAGGGAAGGGCACACAGGTAATGGGGAAAAAATAAGAAACAAGATACATCATGTACAGGTACAAACACCCAATGATAAATGTAAACATATTGTATACCTAAAATGTACCAATAAAAAAATTTAAGGGGCCAGGGATTTAGCTCAGTGGTTCTGCCACCTGCCTCGAAAGTGCAAGGTCCCAAGTTCGATCCCTGGTACCAAAAAAATAAAAAAAAAAAAAATAAAAGGGCTCTTTAAAAAAAACAAAGAAAAAAAGAAAAA